GCGTTTTATTAGTTTCTGTAATAATACTGATGAAAGCCTGATGACAGGCTGAAACGTTTGTTTTTAATGTAAATGTTTAATGGTTATAAACTAATATACGATAACCTTCGCACGAATATCTGGCTGTTGGCTCTTTACGCTCCTATCTAATATTATTGAAAAGATTTAAGTAAATCAAGAACAGCGAGTAATTCTCTCCGTGTAACACAATAATTTCTTTCAAATTTACTCAAAACCTTACTAAAATAAGCTATAACCTTCTCTTTTCCATCTTGAATTTGAGATAAAACCGCACCAATACCGTGATTAGAAGCATCTGAATCAAAAATGAATTGTCCAACCTCATTTGGAAAAGGAAGAATAGAAGAAGTGACTAAACGTTTCTTTAATTCCTCAAAAGCTGAATTGCACTGCTCAGTCCAAATAAATTTTGATGAATTTTCCGTTAATACAAATAACGGTTTAGCTACTAAAGAAAATCCTTTGACGAACTTTCTGTAATAAGAACAAAATTCAAGAAAACTCCTGATTTGTTTCTTAGTTCGAGGAATAGGCCTAATTTTTTACAGAAGATATCTTTTCTTCATCAGTCGAAATCCCTTTTCGGAAACAACATGCCCTAAATACTTAATTTCTTTCTTCAAGAAAGAACATTTTTAGGATTCAATTTTAAATTAGAAGAGCGAAGTCGAAGAAAAATCTTTCTTAATCGTCCAAGTAATCCATCGAAATCTTGACTGAAAATAATTACGTCATCTAAATAAACTAAACAATCTTTATTTATTAATTGACGAAACACACTTTCCATAAGACGTTCAAAAGTTGCCGGAGCATTACAAAGACCGAAAGGCATTACTCTGAATTGCCACAATCCATTTCCTACCGAAAAAGCTGTTTTCTCTTTGTCCTCAGGACGTATTTTTACTTGCCAATATCCACTTTTAAGGTCCAAAGTGGAAAACCATGAATTTCCAGACAACCGATCTAGTATATCATCTATTCGAGGCAAAGGAAAAGAATCTTTGACAGTTACTGCATTCAACTTCCTATAATCAACACAAAATCTAATCGAACCATCTTTCTTTTTTACTAAGACCGCGGGAGAAACCCACAGACTTTGTGATTCTTCTATAACTCTCTGTTGTTTCATTTCTTCAATAATCTTATCAACTTCCCTACGAAAATGAAAAGGAATACGCCGAGGAACTTGTTTAATAGAATTGGAATCTTTCACTTCAATCTTATGTTCAACTTCATTACAATTTCCCGCGACAATATCTTCTGCGAAAACATCCTGAAATTCCACTAAAAATTGAGCAAATTGATTTTTTTTACTTTCTCTAATTCTTCTGTCTTTTTTTCAAAAAGCTCTCTCAAGAAAGAAGGAATTTCCATCATAAAATCTGCAACACGAGAACAAACTAGAGTCTTTTTTTCTTTACAAGGAAAATTTTTAAAGAAAGAATCACAAAATGTGTCAAATTTAATCTCCGATAGAAAATCGATTCCTAACAAACAATACCTCAACCATATCTACAACACAAAAGCAGACAATTTTATTGAAAAATTTCCTATTTCAACCAAAATTTCTACTTTTCTTTAACAGGAACTTTTTCCCCCGTAGGATACCTTAAGTTCAATGAAGTTTTAGTTAAAACCCGTTGAACAGGAAAATTAACAAAATTTTCTTTAATTAATGTCACATCAGAGCCTGTATCAATTTTAAAAATACAATTTTTCTTATTAACAAATCCTTTTACACAAAACATTTTGTTTTTATATTCATCCTTTTTACAATTTATACAACTTAAAATATTTAATCCTTTCGGGGCCCCGTATCTCTTTGTCGAATTCGCCCCAACTAATTCGACTAAGCCTAGTTTTCCTCGGACTTCTGTTTTAGCGTGGAACAGTCCGCACGAAAATGTCCTATACTACCGCATTGCCAGCACTCCTTTTTAACTTTATCTTTTTGAAATCTAAAATTTGTTCTCTCCTGATCATCTTTCTTTTCAGAATTAAATTGCTATACTTTCTGAAATTTCTTTTTGTTTAAATTCCACTCTTGTCTATTAAAACTGTTTTCCTGAATTTCTTTTACCGCTTTAGCTCTTTGAATTGCAACTTCTAATGAAGAAACTCCCTCCAATTGTAATGTTCGTTTAATAAAACAATCTGATAAAGACGAAATAAATTGGGCACACGCAATCTTTTCGCGAACTTGATGAGTACATTCCGGATAAATTAATTGTGACAATTGTTCGATATCAGACCCCAAAGTTGCTTCATCTTCACCGAATTTCTGCCGACGGTTTGTAAATTGCGAATAATACGATTGTGCGAGTTGACTTTCTCCAAAGCGAAGCTCCAATCTCGATTTTAATTCATTAAATTTCAAATTTTCTATATCAGTGACACATTCCAAAACCGAACGAGCTTTTCCACGTAAACATGACACTAATGCGACTGTCTTAGCCGAATCTGTCCATCGATTAGCACTCGCGATCAAATCAAATTGAGAAAAAAATTCACGTAACGGTACCGTCCCGTCAAAATTATACGGTTTTAACTTAAACCCTAACTCTTTTGCGATTGAATTTTCTAAATTACTTTCATTACAACCCGTTGCCCTATCTAAATTTCTAACCACTAGTATCTCTTAAATCTGTACGACTTAGCTGAGATTCCTGGATATTCCTCAGCTGTTCTTCCATTCTGTGCAACATCTCTTCACGCCGTAGTAGCTGTTCCTGAAATTCTTCCTGCTGTTGCAAGCGTTCAATGCGGTATCCCTCCTCCTGTTGCAAGCGCTCGGCGTGTAAATGTTTAATTTCTCGCAAGGCGATCTGTAACGCCGTTGCTTCTGAGGAAGTCGTCTCTCCCACAGGACAAAGCGGAGTCATTGGCCGTAGTCTTTTCCGCGTCACTCTTCCCGTTTCCACTCCACTTTCCGATCTCGAAGTCATTTTTTAGGGACGAGCTATCCCGGACGAGCCCCTAAAATGTTACGTTTCCGAAACGCGTCGCACAGTTCGTACAAATAAACCAACACTTTTTATGAAAATAAACACTTTAATAATAAACACAGAACTCAATAATAAGTAACCGATAATACAATTCAAAGATCGGAGCTGTCATAAACGTCCGCCCGAGCAGACAGCTTCCGAAAATCTGACATATGACAGTTTGTTTATAAACTGTCATAGAGACCCTTTAAACCGCTAATCAATATTCGTTGTCTTGACAACGAATATAAGAAAGATTATTAACATATGCCATTTAGCTTCAACTTTCTAGTGATCGATATTATCGATCGGTCCGTCAACTGTAACACAGCATCAGCGGCGAAAAGTATGGGCGCAACAATACAATAAAATACAGATTACCGTAATATCCATGAAATTCAACAGGATACAGACACCACTTAGGGTCATCAATATCAGGCAAAGCTTGTTTTGCGATTAAAGTATTTATATTTTTTAGTGATGGCCACCAGCATTTTGATGATTGTAGTTGGAGCCATACACTTGGCACCTCTGATACAATTTTTTGCTTCTCATTTCCATCTTGTGTAAACGTGACGACAGCGTAATCTTTCATCATTGTTGAAAATCTATCGAAGTAATATAATAATAATAATCATTGTTGAAAATCTGTCGAAGTAATATAATAATAATATTTGATAAATTATATTAATTTGTTTTATTTGCATGCATTAAACTAATATCTCAATACTCGCCATGAAAATATTTCTTGCTGATGGAGTAAAGGCAATACTACAGCTTCTTCTTCGCATAACGGCAGTTTTACGCATTTTGTTTTAATGTCAGACAAAAAAGTACTGATTAACTCGTATTGTAACCCGTTAATTTGTTTAATTCCAACATGTAGGGAGTCGCATGGAATTTCGAAAAATGATTTGACGTTTAAATACTTTTTACCATCAACAAAAAAGTTGTTATTTTTAAATAAATTTTGTAAGCGAAATTGTTGTACCGTCTAGCAAAGAGCAACAATTATCAGCAGCTTTTGTACTAAGATAGAAGTCTTTGCATTGAATCGATTTTATTAGCCTTTCACCGTTAGCATTTGTAATATTACTGAATTTAGGAATTGGATAATTCTTTTCTTTGCGCGTAATATTCAAATTATTTTCTTCCATGCAACGATTAACTAACTGCTGTAATGGCCGACTTGAAGATCTAATCTTTTTTTAATTTTTGCATGTGATTTTCGAACTTAAATGCGCTAAATTTGTCCAACGTTCCCCATAATTTCACGTAGTTGCACAGATGAACTAAATTATGCACATTATACGAGACATGCTGATAACCATATAATACACCGTAATTTTCAACGAAATACACCAATAAGCTTTGCGCATAATCAAGAAATTGTACGTAATATTCTTTAGAACACAAAATTCGTATCGCTACACTGAGGTTCTAAATTTCTTGGAGTAAAAACGCACTCGAAAAATTGAGTGACTGGTCGTGTCACTCGAGTTAGAGTGACTTTTCATTCATACGGAATTAATTCTCTCTCTTTTTGTTGTAGAGTGAATTTTTCACTCTGCAAAGTAAAGTGACTATGTGTACTTTATTTTGTAGAGTGAATATTTTCACTCTATGCAGTGGTATTTTCACTCTATGGAGTGAATATTTCATTCACATGAAGAGTGAATGATCACTGCGTCTCATTATCTCTTGTTTTCGTCTCATTGTTACACGTATTTGGTGCAAGACATCGTGGATATAAATAAGAATATCTATAAAAAATACACGTAGATAGACATAAAAATGTCAACGTTTCTTCCAGAGGTAAGTACTTATAAGAATTTATGTGTAGTTTATTTACTGATTTAATATATTATATTATGTAAAGAATGGTGTTCAGATTAAATGATTTTTCTAGGTTAGGTTACAGAAAGAGTAAATCGAGATCTCACCCCATACAACAATTCGACGTTCGATGGATGTCTATAGGACGTCCCACTCAACATGTACGGACGTCCAGATGACGTACCAGACATGTTCCGAGAACGTTCAGTAGATGTCATTTGTACGTACAATGTACCGCCCTTAGACGTCCTCTGTACGTCCTTAGTACATCCTTTGTACATCTTTAGAACGCCGTCGTATGTCGTTGGTACGTCGTTAGTACGTCATTATCGTGACGTTACTACGTCTTCTATACGTCCTTAGTACGTTATTGTTGTATTTTATTTAGTAAAATATATTTTCATGTCAGTAAAAATAGTGTAATTAAAAGTAAACAAATATTTTATAATAATGACAAAAACAAAATTAAAAACGACGCATATTTGTTTACATTTTATACTATTTTTACTGACATAAATCATTTTTCAAAAAAAAACGTACCGTAAGAAATCCATTATGTTACGTTAC